TAAATTTAAAAACATGAGAAAAAAAAGTTCAGTGCATTTGAACTCATGTATGGTCGACCTGTTCCCAAGCCTGAGGGAAGGGACAGAAACCTTAACTGCCTTGAAATGGAACAACTCAAGTGTGCCCTTCAGGTAGGAGAAACCATGAAAGCCCTCATGAAATAGAGTAACCAGGTGCTGCCTGCACCCACTGCCCTGGCACTACACTACTTCTGGCAGGAGACTGGGTAACCTAAAAATCTAGAAAAGTGGCAGCCTGCAAGTCCAATTCATTCCTAAGGAGAATGGACCCCACTTGGTGATCCTAACCACCCATTCCATCCTGAAGTTGCCAGGGTCACTCTGTGGTTACATCACATGAGTGCAGAGGCCCCCAAGCCCCAACCTCTGGAGGAACAACCTGGGACAATGAAACACCTTGACTATTCGTGAGAACCTCTCTGACTTGAGGCTTCTCTTGCAGAAAACAACAAAAGTGTGATCAGAGATATTCAGGCCTTGGCAATGAGCCTCAATATCAGGGCACACTTAGCCTATAGGCAAAAGACCTAGATGGGCTTCCCAGGTGGTGCTAGTGGTAAAGAACTCACCTGCCAATGCAGGAGATGTAAGAGACTTGAGTTTGATTCCTTGGTTGGGAAAATCCCCTGCAGGAGACATGGCAACCCACTCCAGTATTCTTGCTTGAAGAATCCCCATGCACAGAGTCTGGTGGGCTACAGTCTACAGGGTTGCAAAGAGTCGGACACAACTGAGTGTCCAACACAACACAAAAGACCTAAATAACGGCATTTTTAGGAAAACAATTTTAATGTGATCATATTCTCTTGTGATAACAATTTCAATGTGATCACATTTTTTTGGGCCATGTATTTTGAATTAATTGATTAGTTAATTAATTTCTATTAACATATAGTTGATATTCAGTATTATATTTTACAGGCATACAATACAGTGATTCATAATTTTTAAAGGTTGCATGTGTGCTAAGTCACTTTAATCCTGTCCAGCTCTTTGCACCTCACTGACTATAGCCTGCCAGGCTCCTCTGTTCAGTTTTCTCCAGGCAAGAATACCAGAGTGGGTTACCATGCTCTCCTCCAGGGAATCTTCCTGACCCAGGGATCCAACCAGGGTCTCTTGCACTGCAGGTGAATTCTTTACAGTCTGAGCCACCAGTGATACTGCGAAAGTTAGACAAAAGATGGTGGCCCAGGGATACCAACAGTCAGGGCTGAGGTCTGGTGAGCCTCAAATGCACCTAAAGGCAGCTGAGAAGTTCTGCTCATCTACCTGGGGGTATGACATTGCCCAAAATCAACAGAAAGCAGAAGATGGACCTGCGCCCCTCAACACCCCTCAAGAATGAGGAGCTGGACAAAAGACAGAAGAGAGATTTGTCACTGGCAAAGCCCACTAACAATTCCCAGGCAATAAAAATAGAATGTGGTAGTAAAATAGAGTCTAACCTTTTTCTTTTCCTCTGTGCTTCATCCAGTTTCACTTGCTTACAGGGTGCTGTGTGCAAAGGTCTTGTTCCCAGCACTTCAAACAAGTTCCTAGGTTGAAATGGCTGCACCAGTACCTCAGCTCAGGGGTGTGTACAAAGACTGCTCATAACACTCAATTCAAGGTGGCGGCAGAGTGCCGCAGTTAGAGACGCTGCTCTCCTCGTGGTGACCTGGGCCGGAAGGGGCAGAGCTGCGCATGCCTTGTGAGAACTCTGCCCCGTCTCAGCTGATTAAATCCATATAAAGCAGCACCCTCCCCTCCCCCACGGTTGGTCTTCTGGGGAGAGAAGGGGCTCTAGGACTTGAGCTCACATCTTGATTCTTTGATCAAGTAACGAAGCTTCCCTACGCTTCTGAACCAAACTGTAACTTGTTCTATCAGTGTTAGTGACACCAGGCAAAAGGACCTTTGTTGGGGGACTAACTTGGGAGGGTTGGTTAACAAAGACAGTTTTGGAAAAAAGCAAGGTTAAAAGATCCATACTACCCAGTTTCACAACTTACTAGAAGTCTTATTAAATCAGCTCTGTGGTACTGGTAAGAAGATGGGTATATAGCAGTCAAAACTGCAGTATTCGTAAAAAGATAAGTAGGTAGATCAGTGAAGCAGAATAGAGAATCCAGAAATAAACCCACACAAATATGATCTATTGGGTTTTGACAAAAGGGTAAATGCAATTCAATGGAAGAATAGTCATTTCAACAAAAGGTGCAGGAATGGGGCTTACCTGGTGGTCTAGTGGCTAAAACTCCTAGCTCCCAGGGCAGGGGGCTTGGGTTCAATCCCGAGTCAGGGAACTAGATCTGGCATGCCACAACTAAGACCCAGTGCAGCCAAATAAATGAACAAATATATTCTTTAGAAAGGTGAAGGAACAACTGGATACCCAAATGCCATGAAAGTGAATCTCAAACCATGCTCCAAACTATACAAAAGGTAACCCCAAATGGGTCATGGGCCTAAATACAAAAGGTAAAACTATAAAACTTTGAAGAGAAAACAGAGGAGAAAATCTTGGTGAGTTTGAGTTAGACATAGAGTTCTTAAATAGGATAGCAAAAGCATGATTCCCAAGAGAAAAAAATTAATAAATGGAACTTGATAAAAATTTCAGTCAGTTTAGTTCCATTGCTCAGTCATGTCTGACTCTTTGCAACCCCATGGGTTGCAGCATGTCAGGCTTCTGTGTCCATCACCAACTCTCAGAGCCTGCTCAAACTCATGTCCATTGAGTTGGTGATGCCTTCCAACCATCTCATCCTCTGTTGTCCCCTTCTCCTCCTGCCCTCAATCTTTCTTCCAGTGAGTCAGTTCTTCGCATCAGGTGGCCAAAGTATTGGAGCTTCTTCAGCTGCAGAATCAGTCCTTCCAATGAATATTCAGGACTGATTAACTTTAGGATTGATGGTTTGATCTCCTTGCAGTCCGAGGGACTCTCAAGAATCAAAATTTAAAGCACTGCAAAGATGAGTTGTAGATGGGGGAAAATATTTGCATATCACAAATCTGACAAAGGATTTTTATCCAAAGTATATAAGAAATTCTCTAAATTCAACAGTAAGGAAGGAAACAACTGGGAGAAATGGACAGAAGATTTTAACAGATATCTCATTAAAGAAGTTAATAGATGGGTGTCAAATAAACACATGGAAAGGTATTCAATATCATTATTTGTTATGGAAATGCAGATTAACAAAAAACTATGGGTGTTTGTGCTAAGTCGCTTCAGTTGTATCTGATTCTTTGCTACCCTATGGACCATAGCCCTCCAGGCAAGAATACTGGAGTGAATTGCCATGCCCTCCTCGAAGGCATCTTTCCCAGGATCAAATCCACATTGGCAGGTGGGTTCTTTACCACTAGTACCACCTGGGAAGCCCATGAGAATGGGTTATTAGAATGTCTAAAACTAAACAAGCTGACAAGCCCTAGAGATGCTGAGGATACAAAGCAATAGGAACTTGTACATTGCTGATAAAAATACAAAGTGGTACAGCAACTTTATAAGAAACTGCCTGTTTCTCATATCACACTACCCTACAATCCCACTTTTAGGTATTTATCCAAGAGAAATGGAAATTTACGTTCACCCAAAAGCCTATATGCAAATATTTACAACTAGAAACAACCCAAAGGTCCTTCAACTAGTGAATGGATTGTTGAACATCCATATACGGGAACAATACTCAGTAACAAAGAATGAACTATGATAGAGTCACCAAAATGGATGACTTTCAAAAGCACTTTTCTATGTGAAATAAGCCATATTCAAAGGCTACATTCTTCACCATTCTCTTTATATGGCAATCAGAAAGTGGTAAAACTATAGGGATAGAGAATAGACTAGGGGTCTCCAGGAACTAAGGAAAAGGGAAATTTTTTACTACAAACAATAGCATGTATGATGGATCTTTTTAAGGTTATGGAACTGTCCTATTATAATTGTGGTGGTGGTTACAGGGCTTTTTATGTTTGTCATGACTCAGAACTCTATGCCCAAAAGTATGAAGTTTACTTATGTGAATTAAAAGAATCTGATTAAGAACTGCCAACAAATTCAAACTGGTATTTATTAAACACTCATTATGAGTAGGGCCTGGACTAGTGCTGTGAGGAAAACAAAGCCTTCTGGTAAGCTCCTTCTCTCCGTAGGCATCAGTCCACTGCAAGACACAAACAGGTACAAAAATAACTACTGTTTACTTAGAATATGTGCCTAACACAGGAACAATGAAGGTGTAAATGGAGAAGACTGGATTCTTACAAGGAGAATTGTAAGCTTGGAGAACTGTAAGGCTGAATTGCAGCAGAAATAAGTCAGATTCTATGCTCATCAAAAATCAGATGGGAAAAGGTTATGAGGGTGGAAAAATGTGATTATTGATCAGAGAGGGTAAGGTAATAAAAGCAAACTCTAAAGGTAATGAGATTGAATCAATGCATGTAATGCTATTTTTAAAAAAAGGCTAGTCAAATAATTCAGTACTGATTCCCCACCAGGAAGGGAAATGAAAAGATAAAGTTTGTGGTTTGAAGTTGTGTTGACTTTAGATTCCATGAGCAATTTCTTTATCTATTCTGCCCCCATAAAAAAGGTTCCCTACTGATAGAAGAAAAAGGCAGATCTTCTGTAAGGGTAATATAAAGGTTATTATCAGGAGAGACCTCTGTCCCGTCTGAGTGTGAGGGAGTCATCTGGTAGCTAGATCCTAGAGAGGATGTTGGTGACAAAGAGGTATAAAATGAAAACTCCCCCTTTATAGCATCACGTGTCTGGGACAGAGGTTCTCAAATCATGGCCCCATGATAGCCACAAAACTTCGTTTGGGAACTTGGAGATACAGGCTTTATGCCAAAACTACTGAATCAGAAACTCTTGGGTTAGGCCCAGCAACCTGTGCCTCAGCAAGCCCTCTGTGAATTCCAGTGAATAGTTGAGGATTTTGAGAGTTTGAGAAGATGTCAAAACTGAATGCTAGGGACTTTCCTGGTGGTCCAGTGGTTAAGACTTCTCCTTCCAACACAGAGGGTGGCGGTTGGATCTCCAGTCAGGGAGATAAGATCCCATGAGCCTGTCAGTCAAAAAACCAAAACAAAGAAACAAAACAGAAACAATATTGTAACAAATTCAATAGAGACTTAAAAAGTGGTCCACATCAAAAATCCTAAAAAACCAAAAAATACCTGAATGCTATACTTAACCATAGTAACTGGTTGAAGCTGAAAAAGGAACATCAAGTTCTAGTTAACCCTCATTCAGACTCTCCAGACCAATGAACAATGGGGCTTGTTAAATCAATCACGTAAGACCTAGGGTCTGGCTCCATTCTATCCAAAGAAGTAGTTTTCAATGCTTACTTGGCATAACCACCTTGAATCTGTCTAAAGCACTTATAAAATTCTGACTTTTCCTTCTCAGTAACTAGTCACTGAATTTGTTTTTGTTTTTAACTGATTAGTGCTTTCTTGTTAAAGAAATAAACTTTGCTTTCTTCTTCTTCTTCTTCTCTCTCTCTCTCTCTCTCTCTTTTTTTACTGTTAAAGCTCTGGTGGTCTTTGCTTCATTTACAGAGAACAGGCAGTCAACAGTGACTCTGCAATGTAAGTTTTCTTTTTCATCCCTGAACAAGTTCTTTAGAATTGGAAGGCTATATTCTAACCCTTGTGTCAACCCAAATTGCTGGAAGGCCTTGGGCAAGCTAGTTAACATCCCTGGGAGTCAGTTTTCTCATCTGTAAAGAGCAAGGAAGTAATTATCTTACCCACCTCAACTGGCATAATGGCTGTGAAGTTGCTTAGTGAAGGAAGAAGCAGATGCACATGCAATTATCATTTTGTGGGCTTTTCTCAATACTGCACTCAATACCCTCAGTTTTCCTCCGTCATCAGAGCAGCCCACAAGGAAAGCCTGGGGCCTGAGCATGGTCCAGTCTTCTCTGATGGTCCAGCCTGCAGGCGACCAACATTGTTTCAGAATTACACTGAGTGAATGAAACGGCAGAAAACATTTCAGCCTGAGGGATCATGGATAAAAACATTAGACAATTCTAGGAATACATTATAGACTTTCCATCAGAACTATGGAAATGACCTGGCAAGCTGCTGTGAGGTTTACAACAAAAAATATTCCTCAGGTGCTTGGAATGAGCAATTGGCTTACAGCAAGTCTTCTGAGATTCACTCAACAGCGACCCAGTTAAGTGTTCTCCATGCAGAGTATCTCATTGTCTGACACAAACGAATAAGGTACAGCTGATGCCAGTGTCCAGTGGCCCTAGGAAATAAAACTGCTGCTTCTGGGGTGGTGGTTTAGTCGCTAAGTTGTGTCTGTATCTTGTGACCCCATGGACTGTAGCCTGCCAGGCTCCTCTGTCCATGAGATTCTCCAGGCAAGAATACTGGAGTGGATTACCATTTCCTTCTCCAGTGGATCTTCCTGACCCAGGAATTGAACCCTGGTCTTCTGTATTATAAGCAGATTCTTTACCAACTGAGCTACGAGGGAAACATAAACTGCTGCTTTTGGTAAGTAGGTGGTAATTTATGTTGAACTATTTGCTGAAGGCCAAATTAGTCCTTGTAATTCTTTCTGAAGAATTAAAAGTAAATGTTTTTCTGCTTAAATAATATTCTGATCCAAAACAATTTTACTGCAGTAATGTATCTGACATAGGAATGATCCTGACACTTTTCCAGGGCCTTTATGAGTAAGAGGATCTTTCTAAAGCATGTTAATGTTGAAAAGAAAGTAGATTTCTAGGGTTGGCTTAAAAGAGGCAAGCAGAGAATAAGTTCAATGAAGAAGGGAAAATAACTTAGCATTTATCTAGCACTTACTGTGTGGCAGGCACAGCACTAAATGATACACATTAACCTTATCCTGACAATAATCTGTGAGGTGAGTATATTTACCTCATTTTAAAAGACTAGGACACTATGGCTCAGAGCAGTTAAGTATCTTCCACAAAGTCACACAGCACACAGTTTATGGCAGAGTTGGAATTCAAATTCAGTAGGTGCTCTTGGGCTTCCCATGTGGCGCTAGTGGTAAAGAACATGCCTACTAATGCAGGAGACACAAGAGACATGGGTTTGTTCCTTGGTTTGTTAGGTTCCTTTGGGGGGGGGCTTGGCATTCCCTTTTGTTTTTTTTGCTTGGGAATTCCCTTGGCCGGGGGGGCTTGGGGGGTTCCGTTTTTTAGGGTTGCAAGGGTTTGGCCCCACTTGAGGGGCTTTGGCCGCCCGGCGGTGGTCTCTTATCTACAGCCCCTGTGCCAGATAGCTTCCCTGTGCTCCTCCACATCCTCTATACGCTTCTCCATCTTGCTGTGTTCCCACAAAGGATGCACCAACTTGCTTGCTGGTTTCCAGTTGTGTTTGGTCAATAGAGATTATTGGCAGGAGGTGAGAAAGAGGGAGAGTAAGGCTCCCCTCTCCAGCTCTCTCCTGCTCCACCAACCAAAAGTCTTAGCTCCTCTCCACAGGATGCTTCCTCTGCGTTTTGATAACCACTCACTCCTCTGAGGGCCCTACACCCTGGCCACACCTCAACTCTCTGAGTTCAAGTGTGCCTACAGTTACAGTGAATTTTATCTCCACCAGCTTATAAAACATCAAAGCTTGGAAATGACAGATTGTCCAGTTTGTTGTTGTTTGGTTACTGGTTCTGGTTCAAATGAAGTTGCTGAATGATGGACACATTCTGTGTGTCCTCCATAGCATTCGACCTGAATAGCTCCCGGTTCAATGTTTAGACAGTATCTCTAACTTCTGACTACAGTTCCCTGAGAGAAACTAAATGGTTTCATGAGCAAAAGCATCTCATTGGGCCATATGTGGTTTCTGAATTATGGCATTCTTAGTTTGGTGAAAAATAATAACAGAACTTGACATTAATACAAAGTTCTATAGCACTACATTTATTACTTTCTATTTAAGGGTGTATACGAAACTAGATGCATGCCAAGAAGAAAACAGCTGAATTCAAAGCTTAAGATATTTTTTTTTAAGACAGGTAATGACTGAACTCTCATCAGGACATAATAGCTGATGAAGGTCTTTCCCCTGAACCATTTTCATGAAGCTAATGAAACTGGTCTGTCTTGGCAGTGCTAACTCACTCCTGTTTTCTGAGTGAGTTCATTACCCATGACTTCAGAAGAATAAAGAGGAAAGAGAAGCAGACTATTACATAGGACAGATGCAGTGAATGGTTCTGCACATTAATGCTATATAGGCAGAAGTAAAATAAAATCTTTGGTGATCAGCAAATGTAATAGTCCTAACATTTTCAAAGCTGTCACTCTTAAAAGTTTAATGGCATGCATGGGTGAGCAATAATTTTTTAAACTTGACTTCATCATATTTTTGTGCTTGAAATGACAAAGCATTTTGGAATCATTCTCCTACCTGAATACAGTTATTCTATTATTAGATAATTACAGCACTTAATGAAAGAAAGGAAGATAGAAATGAGTAATATTCTTAAATATCTTTAATTATAAACTGTCCCCTTTAATCTCTAGCAATACTTCTAACCTCAGCATCTACTTTGTCTAATATTAATTGAACTATATCAGATTTACTTTGATTAGTATTTGGGTAGGATAGCTTTTCTTACCCTTTTATTTTTCAATCTGTATCTTTTCATCTAATGTGTGGCTCTAGTTAATAATAGCATATAGCTGGTTTTTGTGTTTTTATTTGGTCTGGCAAACTGTCTTTTAATTGGATCACAGACCATTGACATTAAAATAATTAATAGTTAATGATACAGTTTAAGTCTAATGCTTGCTATTTCTCTCCTATCTGTCCTCTTCTGTTTTTTCTTTGATTTCTCATTTTTTGCCTTCTTTTGGAGTATGGAAACATTTTTTTATTATTCCATTTTTCTTTTTTATTCCATTTTTAGTTATACATTCTTACATGTTTTTTTTTTAGTGGTTGCCCTAGAGATTTAGCAGGTAAAGAATCCACCTGCAATGCAGGAGACACAGGAGATGCAGGTTCAATCCCTGGGTTGGGAAGATCCCCTGGAAGAGGAAAACTACAACCTACTCCAGTATTCTTGCCTGAAAAATCCCACATACAGAGGAGCCTGGCGGGCTATAGTCCAAAGGGTGGCAAAGAGTCGGACTGACTCTTTGTGTGTGCAACTCAGCATACACACACAGGCTAGATAATACAATATGCTTTCTTGATGTATTGTTCAGTTCAATTCAGTTCAGTCTCTCAGTCGTGTCTGACTCTTTGCGACCCCATGAATCGCAGCATGCCAGGCCTCCCTGTCCATCACCAACTCCTGGAGTTCACTCAAACTCATNTCCAGCCCAGCATTTCTCATGATGTACTCTGCATATAAGTTAAATAAGCAGGGTGACAATATACAGCCTTGACGTACTCCTTTTCCTATTTGGAACCAGTCTGTTGTTCCATGTCCAGTTCTAACTGTTGCTTCCTGACCTGCATGCAGGTTTCTCAAGAGGCAGGTCAGGTGGTCTGGTATAGTCTACCTTAAATGAATACTTTTGATTTTACCACTTTCTAAATAAGGCAAGAAACTTTGCAACAGTTAAACTGCATTTGTCACACTCCCACAGTTTGTGCTATTGTTTCCATGTGCGATTACTTCTACATGTGTGATTATTATTGTTTTGATGTAAACAGTTAGCATTCTTATATTTTTAACCACACTTTACCCTAGTCAGTGCTCTTGCATCTGAGACCATTTTCTTTCAACCTGAAGAACTTCTTGGTGTTTCTCTTGGTTTACAGCTGCTGGCATTGAATTCTCTCAGGTTTTGTTTGTCTGGAAACAACTTTACTTAACCTTCATTTTTATTTTTACATTTGTATTGTGGCATGATTTACGTGTAATAAAATTCACCCACTTTTAGATGTATAGGTTGATGAATTTTGGTAAATTTTATGTATGCGTGTACAGAGTCATGCAGGCAGCCCCCCACAATCCAGTTCCAGTACACTCTATCACCCACCAAAAGCTCCCTTCTGCAGTCCATTCTTTCCCCTAGAAATGATTACTTTGCTTCAGGTTGTTATAGTTTTGACTTTTCTAGAAGTTTATATAAATGGAATCATACAGTGTGATGATTCTTCTGCAACTAGTTTACTTCATTTAGCATGATGCTCTTGAGATTCATCCAGGCTGTTAACATGTATCAGTAGTTCATTTCTCTTAATTGTTGAGTAATATTCTATTGCATGGATATACTATATTTTGATTATTCATTCACTAGATGATGAACATTTGTATTGTTACCATTTGTGGTTATTATGAATGCTTATGCTATATTCATATACAAGTTTTGTGAGGACATAGCTTTACTTTTATTAGGTAAATATCTAGAAATGAAAAGCCTGGACTATATGTACTTACATGCAGTGCCAAACTGAGTTTTGAAGTGACTGCCATTTTGCATTCCTGCTTATAATGTGTGAAAACCAGTTTCTCCCTATTCACCCAGGCCTAATATCATCAATCTTTTTAATTTCAGTTACCCCTCTGAGTAAACCATAGTTTTAATTTGCATTTTTCTTATGACTACAATTGGGGCATCTTTTCATGGGCTTGTAGGTTATTAGCATATCTTCTTTGGTAAAATGTTTGCTCAGATCTTTTGTGTTTTCGTGAAGTCTTGAGAGTTATATATTCTGAATACAAGTCCTTTATCATATACATATTTTGTTTTACAAATATTTTCTTTCTATTTGCAGTTTACCTTTTCATTTTCTTAATGCTGTCTTCTGATATTAGTATGCTGGGTTATACTGAATGATTTTGAAATATTGAACTAACATTGCATTGCCAGGATAAATGCTCTTGATTGTGGTGTATTAGTCTTTTTAAACATTACAGGATTCAATTTGCTAATATCTTGTGGGAATTTTTGTTTTTCTACATTATATTAGTCTCCGGTTTTCTTTCCAAGTACTATCTTTATCTGATTTTAGTATCTGGGTAAAGCTGTCCTCATAAAGTAAGTTGGGAAGTGTTCCATCCTCTTATATTTTCTGGAAGAAATTGTATAGAAATAATGTTATCTGTTCTTTAAACATTTGGCAAATGAAACCAAGTGAACCAGTGAAATCATGTGGGCTTGTAGCTTTCTTTTTCTGAAAGATTTTAAACCATGAATTCAATCTCTTTAATATCTATTTACTCTTTAGTACATGTCATAGTAATTTTTAAGAAATTAGTCCATTTAATGAACGTTGTTGAATTTTTGTGTGTAGAGTTGTTCTTTATAGTATCACCTTAATATTCTTTTAATGTCTGTAGGGTTTATACTCATTTTCCTCTTTCATTCCTGATACTGGCAATCCCTGCGCACTACTTCACACTCCCCTCTATCTCCCTCTCTTTCTGGCTAAAGATTTATCAGTTTTATTGAGTTTTTTGCTTCACTGATATTTTTCTATTGGTTTTTTGTTTTAAATTTCATTGCTTTTTGTGCTTCTCTTTATTTTTCCATCCTTCTGCTGTTTGGGGTTGATTTGGCTCGTCTTTTTAAAAGTTTCTCAAGGTGGAAGTTTAGATTATCGATTTGAGAACTTTCTTCTTTGCCAATCTAAACATTTAATGTTATAAATATCTCCCTAAGCAATACTTTAACTGCATCCACAAATTTTGATGTGTTGTATTTTCATTTTTGTTCAGTTCTAGATATTGTCTAATTTTTGCTTTAGAAAGCATTTTAAATAATTCAAAAAGAGAAGAGCATATTTACCTACGTACTTGTTATTTTTGTTGCTCTCTCTTCATTTCTGATATCCCAAGTTTTCTTCTTCTGGTATTATTTTTTTTCATTCTGAAGGGCTTCCTTTAGCAATTATTTTGGGGCAGGCCTGTTGGCTCTTAGTTTTCTTTCGCTGAGAATTTCTTTTTTACCTTATTTCCTGAAGGCATTTTGCTGGATATAGAATTCTGATTTGACAGTGTTTTTTCTTTTTTTCACTTTAGGAATATTGTTTCACTTTCTTCTGTCCTCCATATTATCTAATAAGAATTCCACAGTCATTTGAATTATTGTTTTCCTATAAATAATGTGTTATTTTTCTCTGGTCACTTTGCTGTTAATTTATAAGTTCGCTTACAATGTGTCTGGGCATAAATTTATTTGGGTTTATTCTGTTGAGGTTTGCTGAGTTTCTTGAGCCTGGAGATTCATGTCTTTCACAAAATTTGGGAACTGGTTAGCCATTATTTCTTCAAATATTTTTTTACACTGCACTGTCATCTTCTCTGGGACTCTGACAACATCAATATTAGATCTTCTGGTGTCATTCCACAGATATCTGAAATTCTATTCATTAAAAACAACCTGGGAATTCTCTGGCAGTCCAGTAGTTAGGACTCTGCACTTTCACTGCTGAAGACCTCGGTTCAATCCTTGGTCAGAGAACTAAGATCCCACAAGCTGTGCGGCATGGCACAAAAAAACCAGAACAAAACAAAACCAACTTTCTTCTCTCTGTTGTTCACTTTGGGTAAGTTCTTTTGATTGGTTCACAAGTTCATCTACAGTCTCCTCTGCTATTTCCAGTCTACTGTTGAGACCATTCAGCTTTTTCTTTGTCTTGTGCTTTTTAAATTCCCCTTTGTTTCTTCCTTATATCCTCAATTTCTTTGCTGAGACTTTCTAGCTTTTTATATTTTAAGAACATTTGCCCTTACTTTTTGGGGCACTATTATAATAGTTGCTCTTGAAAGTCTTTTTCAGATAATTCTCACTTGCATGTCATCTTGGCATTGGCATCTCTTATTTGTCTCTTGCCATGCAAGGTTAGATATTCCTGGTTATTTGTATGCTGATTATTTTCAGATTGTATCCTGTACATTTTGAATATTATGTTATGGGATTATGGGTATTTGTTTTAACAGATAATTGGCCCAGTTGAGTTCAGGTACAAGTTCCAACCAACTTTCTGTGGTTTCAGTGTGATGGCTGATTTCAAAACAGTGCTATTCAGATCCTTCTTGCATGTGCACCACCCAGTGGCTAATTTGAAACCTTGGTGATCTGTCCTGTAGTTCAGTTCTTAAACTTATATGCTCTTTAGGGTCAGCATGGGCATGGGCGTATGGACTTGGAAGTGAGCCCAAGAATTCATAGGCAACTTTATGGGCCTGCTTTCCCAATCCTCTCCCTGGGACAATCTCTTCTGCATTTTCTGGTTACCTGAAATTTTGTAACCAAAAAGTTGGAGCTATATTTATTCACTCTGTTGCAGTTACACTTATGTCCCGGGTCAACCAGCAGGAGGACAGAGAGAAGACAAAAAGCAACAGGAGTCTGTCCCACACAGATGATCACAGCTCCTCTGATCAGAGAGGCAAGTTCCCGTCTGTCAGCATTTAGAATCCCGCAGGTCCAGCTGTCACTACAGACACTGCCATTGCCATCATGGGATTTAAATCCCATGAGAAAAACAGAGACCAGAAGAAAGAGGGCTCTCCTTGACTCTCTTGAGCATTAGGAGACCCTTCCCTGCTCTTTGAGCCAGAGCTAGAGGGCTTCTCCTGGAGCTCCCTCTGTGCAGATGCCCACATTCAGGTTTTGTGCTGCTTATTGGAGGAAAAAGATGATAAACTGTCTACCAATTCGATGGTACTTCAAATTCTAGTCCTCTTCCCCAATTACCAACTACAATTTAATTTTCAGAGTCCTCAAAAATCTGCTCTGTACATTATGTTCAAGTTTTTTTTTTTTTTTTTAGCTGCATCCATTGTGGCATATGCAGAATACTCTATTGTACCTGGAATTGGAAAATTCTATCTTGTTTAAACCACTGAATTACTGTCGGGGCCCTGGTTTCAGCAGATAGGCCTATCGTAACTTATTAAGCCAATTCCACCATTCCTTTGTTCTTGCACTACACCTATTTATTCTGTAATTCATTCATCCTAAAACCCACTTATCTGCCCCCTCCACCCAGAATGATGAGCTAGATTTATCCAACCATGTGGGCTGGTGGTCTTTTGCTTGTTAAATATCTCTGTACAACTCTCCTGTTTTTCACAGAAATTGCTATTTATATTTGTCTTGAACCTTTACAGCTATCCTTTCACTCTCTCAGCATGTCTTTACCTCTTATGCTGTAGAGAAAACCAGGCACCTTCTTACTGCTCACCTATAGATATGCTTTCCCTTATGTTTTAAATGAAGAGACATCCCTCCTTACACCTTCTGCTGAAGGAGCTAATGCTTCCTGTGCTCTGGATCCTATCTCCTTCTGCCTTCTTAATGTTTTCCATAAATTATTATCCCCATTTCTTCCATCTTCCACTTATTTTCTCCACAGGATCCTATACTTCAGGATATAATATGGAAAGCCTCTATCTTATCTTAAATATTGCAAACATCTCCTAATACTCCTCCTGTATTAGTCAGATTAGTTGGAGGAGGGTAATCTGACAGTTTTAACAATATTTAGATCTCTGAGACTAAACACACACACAAATTACTTTTTTACTCATATAAAGTTCAGTGTGGGCTTCCCAGGTGACGATAGTGGTAAAGAACCCACCTACCAATGTAGGACCAATGTAGGACATGCCAGATGCGGGTTCAATCCCTGGGTCAGGAAAATCCCCTTGAGGAGGGCATGGCAACCCACTCCAGTATTCTTACCTGGAGAATCCCATGGACAGAGGAGCCTGGTGGGCTACGGTCCATAGGGTTGCAAGGAGTTGGACATGATTGAAGTGACTTAGCATGCAGGCAAAGTTCAGTGTATGTGTTCTTGGTTGGGTGGCTCTCTTGGTAGCTCTCTCTTCTCTGACTCAGGGATCCAGGTTCCTTCCATCTTATGGCATAGCCATCTTCATGAGGTGTTCAGGGGTGCTGTAGAAGGGAAGACAGTACGAGGTAGGTTCCCTTAACTACCTTAGCTCAGAATGCGCTACACACTTTTACTCACATTCCTTTAGCCACAGTTCCACCTGGAGAGATCTAGGAAATGTTGACCTTCATGGAGCAAATGCCTTCTAGCGTCATGAATCTTCAGTAGTCAGCCAACTATTTCATCTATCTCTAGTAGCTCCTTACCTCTAGTCTTACCATATATCCATCCACATGGAATCGATCATAGTCTTCTTACCACAGATCTGATTGTAGTTCCCCATTTAGCACCCAATTACTACCCACTGCCAAGTGAATGAAATCCAAACCCTTTATCAAGATATTCAATACCATTTAGGATCTAGCCCTTCCAACCCTGTCTCATGAGGTCTTGTCTTAGGGATTGTCCCATCACACTGCTTCCAGTTCCCAGTTACTGGGAACAAGTAATAGTTACTCTTACTTGCCTCTTTACATTAGTACACACTCTTCCATCTTTCTGAAACATCTCTCTTTGCTGTTATCTAGTGGGAAAATTTCTACCTCTTCTTCACAATTCATTATAAGCATCTTCCTCTGTGAACCTTGTAATCTTTTTTTATTTTTGAATTTAAGAAATTTTTATTTTATATTGGATTAAGTTGGGCAATAATGTTGTAATAGTTTCAGGTGTGGAGCAAAGTGATTCAGTTATACATACACATGTTATCTACTCTTTAAAAAATTCTTTTCCCATTTAGGCTGTTGCATAATATTGAGTAGAGTTCCCTGTGCTATACAGTTGTTGGTTATCCATTTTAAAATATAGCACTGTGTACACGTCCATCCCAAACTCCCTAACTATCCCTTCCCCCCACCCTTGGCTTCTGGTAACCATAAGTTTGTTCTCTAAGCAGCACCTTTTTAAAAGTAGAGTTGATCATTTAGTCCCTTTATGCCACAACTGATCATCAGCAAACCTCCACAGTAGTACTTATTTCACTGAGTTAAAATCATATTTTTTATGTATCAGTCTCTCTTCTTTTAAACTATAAGCTCCTTGATAGCTAGGATCATGACTTTCTCTCTTAGTATCTCCAATGCCTAAAGCAGTGTCTGTCACATGATGGATGTTTAATAAATGTTCATCTAATGAATAATTAAATGAATGAATAAATGATGTACACTTTAAAATATTTCTTACACTTAAATTTCAGTTCAGTGTTTATTCAATATTTAAAAGTTCTTGGAGAAAGCTATGAGCTTGTGCTATATTTACTGTATCTTCTGTTAATGAAGAAGGATGGACAGTACTAAATTAAAGCCTTACAGAAATACCATAACATAAATTCTTGATTTGGTTATGGGAGCTTCTTCACAAAAAAGTTAGTGAAAGTGATACAAGAATGAGCTGAAGCTACAAAGAGGTTAAAGTGACTGATTCTTATTGATGTGGAAATATTACTGAAAGATTCAACTCTGGGAAGTCAAAGAGCACAGAAAACACTGGTAAGAACTGAGAGGATTCAGGTGATTGAGACGAGGAGCTTGAGGAAACATCATTTCGGTCTGTAATGGAAAAACGAATGGTGTGGGGGTGGGGGGACGCTTCCTTGAGCTTTTCCCTTCTGAACCATGGAAAAACAACTCTACCATAATTAATATACTTTTTGAATTAACTATTTCATTACTAATTCTTCAAAAATCATTGTTCATCTATGTTATATATACTCTCTTAATTAACTAGACTGTTCGTTAATCAGCTCATCATTCCACCTCTGACCAATCTATATGAGTAGAATCATCGTATATTCAAAAACAATAAATAACAAACAGGGCGTCGGGGCTGAGCCGCTCACTCGGATCCGGATCCGGGCTTCGCGGTCAACGGCTTATTCGCGGCCTCGCCACAGCCGACCGGCTTCTCGGTGGAGAGACAATGGTGGGCCGCAGCAGCGCCATCGCCGCCGGTGTGTGCGGGGCCCTTTTCACCGGTTTACTGCATTTACTTCGACCGCAAGAGACGGAGTGACCCCAACTTCAAGAACAGGCTGCGAGAACGAAGAAAGAAAGAAAAGCTTGCCAAGGAGAAAGCTGGGCTTTCCAAGTTACCTGACCTTAAAGATGCTGAAGCCGTTCAGAAATTCTTTCTAGAAGAAATACAGCTTGGTGAAGAATGACTAGCTCAAGGTGAATGTGAGGAGGGTGTGGGCCATCTGACAAATGCAATTGCTGTGTGTGGACAGCCGCAGCAGTTACTGCACGTGTTGCAACAAACTCTTCCACCGCCAGTGTTCCAGATGCTTCTGACGAAGCTCCCAACAGTTGGTCAGCGAATTTTAAGTGCTCAGAGCTTGGCTGAAGATGATGTGGAGTGAGAAACAAATATCAACATAATGATCTCAATTAAAACATGTTTTTAAAATCTTAACTCTGAAGGTGATCGGTTCTGGGGGAGTAAGGGCAGAGGAGCTTGTTATGGACTGTCCTCCACAGTGAAGTCTACCGAAGTTAATTTTTACTTTGTGTAGATCCATTTGTCTGTTTTATTTATTTTTCCCAGTGAAAAGTGTATTTTGATAGAGAGCTTTTCATTTTATAAATATACTATGAATTACTGAAATATGCATTTTGTTTATTCTTAAAATGTGTAATTAGAATGTGATTACATCCCATTACTTACATTAAAAATACCCAGTGCTCAGTTTTGAAAGATAGGCCCAAAAAAGTATAGAAGAAAACTGAAGAATGTACGTGTTTTGTTCTACATCAGAAAGTTGGCTGGAAACTTGTGTTGATCAAAACTGAGCATTAAAATAAGAGATTATTTCTTTCCATTTAATCTCTTAAATATGTGTAATGTGCTGCTATGCTATTGTAACAATTTCACCCTCACCCTTGAAATGTTTTCTTTAAATCAGTGGGTTTGATGTGTTCTGTATATTTATCTCCTTGTATTTTATATACATGTAGTTGCTGATAGCACCAGGAATTAGATGTCTATACATTCTTAATTTGGCTAAGTAAGCTTTACCAGTTAATGTCTGCTCACTTGCCTCATATATAAACTGAGGAAATGGGTCTGCTAATTCAGCTTCTAATTCCTTTGGTTCTGTGCAGCATTTTCAAATCCCTCTTTCTGAGGGAAATACCTGTTTGGGCAGCCAGCCCTTGCTTTTGCTTAGTCGTGTCTGACTCTTTGGAACTCCATGGACTGTAGCCCGCCAGGCTCCTCTGTCCATGGGATTTTCCAGGCAAAAATACTGGAGTGGGCTGTCATTTCCTTCTCCAGGGGATCTTCCTGACCCAGGGATCGATCCTGTGTCTCCTTCATTGCAGGCAGATTCTTTACCACTGAGCCACCAGGGAATATTCTCTATCAGACTGAGATAGCGATCAGGAGAACTGTGCCAACTATAGGGATTGGTGCAGAGCAGGAAAGGAGGTTGAGTCCTCGTTTCGGACATCAGTTTTGGCCAGATATAGAAGCAGCAGTGGGAGGTCTCCCTCTCCATGACTCTGGAGACCAGGGACATAAGGTCACCTTCAGAGTTGAACTATCAATAGTAAAATTCACAGACAATGGATGTGATTAGTCACCCATGGGAGTAAATCAAGAGACTGAAATGCATGGACCTCATGAAACTCCAATCAAGGGAGGAAATTTGGATGTAATCAGAGGAAGACAGGTGCAAAATGTGAATGTCATTGCATAGAAGATAATCAATTGAATTGCCCATCACCTGGGGGAAGACTGGGTGAAGGTAGGTGAGGGTGTGGGTAGAATGGGAAGTGGTCAGTGTGGACTACAGGAAATAAAAACCCCAAGGCATCTTAACTTGGTAGTGCACACCCAATCCCTGTGCAGGGGAGAGATTCTGCCTTTTGTGGTTGCTGTGGAACAGAAGTGCCTCTTCTCATCTCTCTTCAGTATCCCGTGTGCCCTATGCTCAGCATCTGTGCTCATTCTGATCCTGGGACTAGCTGCCCTGGGCAGTGGATATAAGCTTTCAGTCCCTGCGAAGAAATGTCTCCCACTATAAATTTCTACTTTGGCTATGAGTAACCTCCTGAATTTGAGTGATTCAAGTGACCTTGGATTCTGAAAACTTCTGGAAACCTGATGAGGATAAACACTGGAGTTTGGAAAGTGGTCAGCTCCTCAAGGGGATGCTACAGCAAACCCTGGTGGGCAGCTGCAGCCTCCTTCCAGGAATGCATTGACCTCATCTTCAGTCCTTTGCTGCCTTCTTTAGACAGTACCACAGTATCCACTTAGATCAAGGATTCTTAACCCCATCAGAGCCAACGACCTATTTTTAAGTGAATGTTTTGTTAAGTCCTACTTACTATCTGGAAAAGGAATTCACAAATTATAAACCTCCTATACGTGCTTAGTTGCTCAGTAGCGTCTGACTCTTTGGGACACTTTGAACTGTATGTAGCCTGCCAGGCTCCTCGGTCTATGGGATTTTTCAGCCAAGAATACTGGAGTGGGTTGTTACTTTCTTCTCCGGGGATCTTCCCAACCCAGAGGTTGAATCCATGTCTCCCATGTCTCCTGCACAGCAGGCTGATTATGCGCTGAGCCATCAGGGAAACCTCCTACACACATCTTTCTAAAAGTCAACACAATGTCCTAATGATAAAGATAAAGAAAAATTATTGGTAGAAGAGGAATAATTTATAACTAACTAATATGTATTGGAGTATATTAATATTTAGGGAAGACTAACTAGGAGGTAGAATGAAGCAGTTGCTTTGAAATCTGAGTGAATGTGACAGAGACAAATGTAATAGAGACACGTTTGCTGACAACTCAGAATAGCGAAATTGCTGGTAGCCAAATGATTTTCTGAAATTGTGAATACTATTGGTAAAGTTCTGAACAAACACAGTGCCATCTTCTCTTCCTTTAAAAAGGATTAAGAGGCATTTACAGAAAAATCAGTGTATATTAAAATATACAAAAGTAACTTATGTTTCCAAGTAAAATGGGATTGAATTTCACACCACATAATTACAAACAGATTTTCCCACACAAATATCCAGTGTGACTTCTGAAGTTTGCACAGGACACACGACACTTGGTGCACAAGATCAAATAGCCAGCACCTTTGGTTCCACTCGTTAAATGCTACTAACCCTCCTAATAACTGTGACAATCAAAAGTGCCCCCTAGAGTTTCCAATACATTTCCTAGAAGCTGGTACCTTTCTTACTGAGATACACTGATTTACGTGAACAGAAAACAATGAAGTGAAGTTGTTAGTCACTCAGTTGTGTCTGGCTCTTTGCGACCCCATGGACTGTAACCTGCCAGGCTCCTCTGTCCACAGAATTCTCCAGGGAAGAATATAAGAGTGAGCTGCCATTCCCTTCTCCAGGGGATCTTCCAGACTCAAGGATTGAACCTGGGTCTCCTGCATTTGCAGGCAGATTCTTTACCATGTGAGCTACCAGGGAAGCCCCAACTTAAGTGAACAGGAAACAATATGAGGGCCCAATAAGGCAAGTGTGCCTGTCCTATGGCACAATCATTCCATGGCCTGACATGGCAGGTAACTTCAACTGGCAGAAAGAAGGGCAGGATGGATGAAACTGGGGAGAGCATGTAGTGCTAAAGGGAGAAGCAGAAATACAGGCAGAACAATAAG